GTGTGTGTGTGTGTGTGTGTGTGTGTTCCCTACATTTTCGTCCCTGTGGAACAAAGATGTTCAGGTAGAGACAGTCCTCGCTGCCCCGGGTTTTTGTCTGCAGCAGCGTCACCTGAAGGCAGCGATCTCGATACTTTGTGGCCTTCAGGATTCCTGTAAACGACAGACTCGTCTGAGAATCTAAGGAACACTCAGGAGTTGAATCTTCATCACTGTCACACACCAGGATGATGTGAGGACATCTCTTTACATCACTGTAGCTGTGCCTCAGATCAGGTGCCGTATCCTAACCACGAAGGGGACATCTATCTGAAGGCAGATTTGAAATGGGACATTGTGGTCTACAGAGGATTTCAGTGATCTGTGTCAAGTTGCACCGCTGTGACCACTGTCTTCAGATGCAGCATCTTAACTGAGACACAACTTTTTTTTCATTCTTCCCACTAAGGACTTAACTACCCATGAGCCTCTGTGGCTGTTGACGTCAGAGTGTAAATCCAAAGGTTAAAGGTCAACCTCAGATTTCAGCTGTACCACAGCAGAGGCTGAAACTCTCTGATTGGTTGACACAGTGAATTGTGGGACTTGTAATCCTGAAGTGTGAGATGTGTGAGAGTTACCGCTCCATCCGGGGTGAGGTTTTGGTTTGTCCCATGTTCCAGGGACGTCAGCGAAGGGGATTCCTTTAAAGACATCTACGGACCTGAACAGACCCATCCTGTGACTCTTACCCTCCACCTGCCCCCCCTCCGTCTGCACCACACCCAGCTACACACACAGAGACACACAAGGTTTCAACTATCTCTTAAATGTGAGAAATGTTCAGTCAAAGTTGACTCATCACGTCAACGTCACATTTAAAAAAGTAAAAAGGAAACCTCAGTGAGTTCGCACCAGCACCTGAACACACCTGTTGCTCACCTTCGCAGCTGAGGCTGAGTTCAGCCCGACGCTCAACATAAGCAGCAGCAGCATCGTCCTCATGATTCCACTGTTAACCGGTTCACCGCTCTGTCCCCGTGTCTCACACTCTGAGCTGCTGCTGGTACTTATACTCTGGTTACTGATGACTAGTCTTATCTCCGACAGGTCTGCTGCTGCAGTGAGAACGCACACAGCTGCTGCACACACACACACACACATGTGTCTCTATAGTTGTGAGGACACCCAATAACATAATGCATTCCCTTAACCATCTCAACTAAATGCATAACCCTGAACCTGATTCTATCCATAACACCAAGTCCTAACCCTCAAACACCCCTTTGAATTTGGGAGGACTCCACAAAATGTCCTATCGATGATGTTACTGAACCAAAATCGGCGCGCACACACATATGATCATCTTTTCTCTCTTGTATTTATTTAATATGTACATTTATATGCATCTCTGATCAAAGATTGCAGCAGCACAAGAACAGGCCCGAAGCACAAGATCCATAGAGGTCGTCCACAAGACAGACGCTCCTGACACAGTCCAGCTCATAGTATCAGGGTTCAGGATTCAGGCTGGGACAGTATTCACTGAACAGCAGAACCAGAACGAGTATAAATAAATATCAATGTTATTATATATATGTAATATAAATGGGTCTCAGCCGGACATGAACAGTAAACAACAAGAACAGAGGTTTTCATGTTTTCTCTGTTGAAGCTCGTTTTTCCCATCGTCCATGAACGCGTGTTGAGCTTGATTGACAGGGGTGTCAGGTTACGGGGGCGGGGCCTGGTGTCATGGCTGCGCCCTGTTCGGATCGAGTCTCCTGAAGGTATCGAACCTTTTCCCCCGTTTCACGCTTTACCTCGTTCTTTAGTCGTTTTATTTGCATTCACGAACTGTGTGTGCGCCGGAAGTGACGCAGGAGGGAAACCAGCTGCTCTGCTACACACTCTTAGCATGTGAGCTCAGCACCAAGTTGTTAGCATGTTAGCTTAGCTGTGAGTTTGATCTGTAGGAAGTGGCTAAGATGCTAACAGTTAGCTTCAGTGACGTCAGACACAGTGATCAGCTTTATGCTGCGTTCACGACAACTCGGATGTCGTATTTTCCCGAACTTCCGCTTGAAAAGTGCAGTAGACGTCACCTACAGTCGGAGTTCGAACTTGTGAACTCGGTGAAACGTCATCTACCCCTAGTTCACGGAGCAGTAGTTGTCTGACGTCATATAGTCATGGAGACGTAGATCCTGTAGCTGAGGCCCGTCTGTTGTGTCAATGTGTTTCCAGGTATAAAAACTAAAAGTATAAATGTCTCCGCCTGTTTTTATATCATCAACAAACGTATGAAACCAAACTGATGAGAAACCCTTGAACAAACATCAGAGAGATGAGAACGAGCTGAAACGACAGAAACATCTTTACAAACATTTATTTAACGTCTACTTTGATTTTTTAGTTTGGTCCATGTCCCATCTGCTAACATGGAGGTTGTTAATGAGCTATACTGCAGCCAGACATGTCTTGTCGTCCATCTTTATTAACAGTGTCTATGGTGTTGAGATGAGCTGCAGCTTTAAAAAGTGAAATGAAATTCTGGACTGGTTAGACAGTCGTCCTTTGTGTCTCCAGGTGTTGACAATGTCCAAGGAGCAGGTGATCAGTGAGCTCCTGCTCTCATTAGACAGTTCAGAGCTGCAGGAGGCGGAGCAAGTGAGAGCAACAGTCAACCAGCAGCTGAGCTCAGGTGAGTCCACTTGCAGAGACACGTTCACTTCCTGTCTTTGTCATGTAACCTTTAGTTTCTGCTCCTAGACAGAGGAGGTGCTGTTCTCTCCTCTCTGGTGGAGTATTACCTGGACTCCTCATCGTCTCAGGCAGTTCTCCTCCTGTCGACCGTCAGAGAACCTCATCACAAGGTCAGCACCATCTCACCATCACCGTCCAGCTGAGCTGAGCTGCTCTAACATCTGCAGTGTTCACACATTTCAGCTGCTGTTGGAGAAGCTCCACGAGTCTGTGAACAGACCTGGAACCAGATTGGCTGCTCTGACTCTGCTGGGTCACCTGATCCGCAAACAACCGCCGTGGGTTCATCACATCAGCCGGTCGCCACTGCTGCCATCACTGCTGCGCTACCTCAAGGTGACGACATGGATATATACACTTTATATAGAGACCATCAGTGACTGTATGTAAAGACCATCAGTGATGATTGATCAGCTGTTCATTGTGGTGTTGTTGTGTTCTTTCAGACAGACAGTGATGTGGCCGTTCTGATAACTGCAGTCCTTGTCCTCATCACTCTGTTACCCATGATCCCTCAGGCCGGGAAACAGCACATCTACGACTTCTTCGACGTGTTCGGACGCCTCGCATCCTGGAGTTATAGAAACCCAGGTAACGCACACACACACACACTCAGACCAGTCTGAATGGGATCAATGTGATGAGTGGAGTGGTCAGCTCTGATTGGCTGTGTCCTCCTGCAGGTCATGTACCTGCGGTTCACCTGGTCCACCTTCATGCAGGTGTGTACTCACTGTTCCACCGTCTGTACGGGATGTTCCCCTGTAACTTCATCTCCTACCTGAGGCTCCACTACAGCATGAAGGAGAACCTGGACACCTTCCAGGAGATCGTTAAGGTCAGTGACCCCAAAGAGACCACTACAGACCACTACAGACCACTACAGATTACTGCAGACCACTACAGA